CTTTCCAAGTCGTTTCTGGTTTATAGCGACCCTCAAGCCATATATATCCCTGTGTTTTCTTAGCAAAATTTGTTTGGGGAGGGGTCTGTCTTTCCCACCATCTGAGGCTGAGAGTGTGTGACTTTCCCAAGGTCACCCGGTGGCTTTCCATAGCTGAGCATGTGTGTGTTTGTGTGTATATATGTATGCTCTCAATTGCAGGTTTACATTATGCCATACTATAATACAGCTGTGGCTTTGACTTTTGCAGATTTGATCATTTGTGGTTTTGATTCATATGTCCTCTCTAGGAATCTCTAGGTCCTCCAGCGCAACTCTGCCAGAGGTTGACCATAGAGTTGTGCTGGAGAACCTAGAAGTTCCTAGAGAAAACACTTCTCTAGGCATTTGGAGGTCCTCAGATGTTGGCCATAGAGTTGCACTGGAGGACCTAGAAATTCCTAGAGAGGTGTAAAAAGAATAGTGTTCTTTTATTTGTTTTTTCCACAAATGTGGAGGAACCACTGTATATCCTATAGCACTGCTATATATTGTATATTATAGATATTATACACGCCAAGCTTAGGTACATTATACTACAGTGGTCCCTCTACATTCGCTGGGGTTTGGGGTGAGGGACCGCCATGAACATGGGAAAATCGCAAATAAAAAAAAGACTATTCTTTTTACCTAAGAGAACACCTCTCTAGGAATATCTAGGTCCTCCAATGCAACTCTATGGTCAACATCTGCCAGAAATAGACCATAGAATCATGTTGGAGGACCGACAAATGCCTAGAGAAGTGTTTTCGCTAGGAACGTCTAGGTTCTCCAACACAACTCTATGGTAAACTCTATGGCAGAGTTGCGCTGGAGGACCTAGAGATTGTTTCTCAATGTGTTGTTGTTTGTTGTCAAGTCGGCTTTGACTTGTGGTGAACCTATGAAAGAGAGACCTCTCAGTCATCTACAGATCTGCTCAGGTCTTTCGAACTCAGGGCATCCCTGGCTTCCTTGACAGAGTCCATCCAATTATCATGGGTTGTCATCCTCTTTACCCACCCCCTTCCGCTGTTGTCGTTGTTGTTGTGTGCCTTTAAGTCGTTTCCGACTTATGGCGATCCTAAGGCAAACCTATTGTGGGTTTTCTTGCCAAGGTTTCTTCAGAGGGGGTTTGCCATTGCCTTCCCTGAGGCTGAGAGAGTGTGACTTCTATGACTGTTGTTGCTGTTGTATGCCTTCAAGTGGTTTCCAACTTATGGCAACCCTATAGCAAACCAATCACAGGGTTTTCTTGGCAAGATTTGGTCAGAGGAGGTTTACATGACTTTCCCCTGAGGCTGAGAGAATGTGACTTCTAAGGTTTTTGCATGCCTTCAAGTGATGTCTATGGCGACCCTAAGGAGATCCTATCCTGGAGTTTTCTTGGCAAGATTTGTTCAGAGGAGGTTTGCCATTGCCTTCCCCTGAGGCTGAGAGATTGTGACATAGACAGCCAGTAGGGTAATATGGCCAAGCAGGAATCGAACCCTGGTCTCCAGAGTCATAGTCTAACACTCATAATATACTGTTGTGGTCAACATTGTTGTGGAAATCTCAGCTGAATGAGGTGTGATGATGGCGATCGAGGCTCTGCCACACTGCGGAATTAATGTGGATTACACAACTTTAACTGACCTAACTCCGTCCTATGTCGCCTTGGGACTTGTAGTTCGTTTTGGCACAAGAGCTCTCTGACCAAGAAGACTAAGTATCCCACAAAACTACAAACCCTAGCCTTCCATAGCATTGAGTCATGGCAATTAAAAGCGGTATCCAACAGCTCATGGCCACCCCAAGGCAAACCTATCTTGGGGTTTTCTTGGCCGGAGATCCCTAGAGAAGAACGTATTCATCGAATCCGCAGATAATCAAATCCGCAAAAGTCAAAAAGCCGTAAACGTGGCGTGCGAACTATAATTCATTCTTTCCCTCTTCTTTTTCCCCCTTTTATTTCCAGATGACAATGGTAAGCCAGAAGATGGACCAATTTCCGGGTAAATTTCCTATTTTTCATTCCGGGGGGCAGCAAGGCGGCAGG